TTCTACCTGTTCATCAGAGGGGGGTACACCCTGGGGACTCACTACTGAGGACGCACCATGATGACGTACTCCACTTCCACCTGGTTGGCCCGAACAGAGGAGGCGGACTTCCTGGAGTCCTTTTTCTGGGAGGAGGCCGAGAGAGGACCAGTATGATTCAGGGCCAAGTTTGCATAGCAAAGGTCACCCTCCAGGGGCTGGAGCACCTGGGAGAGGAAACAGGATGGGTGGTCAGGTCACAAGGCCCCACATAAGCACAGGTCCTTCATCGACTGAAAGGCACGGACCTCTCTGCTTCCGTGGGCCTCCTCTCTCCCAATTCCCTCTGAGCTCCCACTTCTCAGTCCTCCACGCTTGCCCCTCCCAACCCTCCTCCCTCTGGTGGTTTCTAGGCCTCGTCTCCTGTCAAGCCCCCCTCCAGTGTCACAGGATGTGGAAACCCTGAAGATGGGCACGTAGTTGGGACCTCTCTGCTCCTGGGAGACAGGAAAGAGGAAGGAGGGGCAAGCGCCAACTGTTGTCTCTGGCCAGGTCTCAGGACTCACTTACCTGCTCTGAGGATGTCCCAGAAGCTGAAAGAAAGCACAACCCAGAATTAGAAAGCCCACCCCCAAGAGTCTCTTGGGGAAATAAAAGCAGAGATAAAGAGATGAATGAGGCTCCAGGCACAGAGATGGGAGACCTGGTTCTAATTCTGACTCCTCAGATGATGCCTATGTGACATTGGTCACAACCTCTCTGGGTTCCCCCATGCTCCCCACATCACAGACCCATGCCCCTGCTGATTGGGTGGCCCTGCCAGGCAGCCAGTCCTCTGGGACTGAGTCTTCTACACATCCCAGTGTCAGCCTGTAGCTTCTGCCTGAGGTTCTGTTCATGGTGCCGTTTCTGTGCTGGCTCCATACCCTAGGAGTGGACTGAGAGTCACACCTTCATTCCCCGGTTACCCAGAAGGCCCTTGACTTATGTCTCCTCGTCGCTTTCACTCCACTGAATTCTAGTGCATCGTCAGTGGGCTGTGAGCGGCTGGGTGGCTGGGACTGCCTTTCCTTGTACCGGGGCTTGGCTGAGGCTGACTCATGGCTGCTCAGGCAGGAATGCTGTCACAGAGACAAGGCCACTCCAAGCTGCCTCCAAGGCTGTGCGTACTGGGTCGGCACGACGTGAACTGACAGACTCGTTTAGAGGTCCCTGCCAGTTCCTGTGTTCTTTCTGCCCTTTGGCCCTTCCCTGTCACCCCCCTGCTTTAGGGACAACAAAGAAACAAAGAGGGTTTTCTTGCATTTTTAGTTTCTAGTAACGGGGACCATTCCCTGGAGAAGGATATCATGCTTGGTAAAGTGGAGGGTCAGCGAAAAAGGGGAATGCCCTCAACGAGATGGACTGACACAGTGACTACAAATGCACTGAGGTACAGCAAGCATTGGGAGGCTGGTGCGGGACTGGGCAGTGGTTTGTTCTGTGGTACACAGGGTTGCTATGAGTTGGAACCGACTCAACAGCACCTAACAACAATGACGACGGTTATGGGAAGAACAGGAAATACTTAGAACTCGGGTCATGGACATATTTGGGAGAAAAGGTGATGAGTGAGAGTCAGGCCCCTTCTATTCCCAGATTCCTGTGAAGAGAGAGGAGTGGTGAAGGGGCTCTATAAGAGCTTAGACTCCAGTGAGTTTGGGGTGGGGTGATTGTGAAAGCGTGGATGTGAAGCAAGACAGGAAAAAGGTTGGGTTGGGACCAAATGGCACAACTTCAGAGTGCAGGCTTATGAGCCAAAAGACTCTTCCCCAAAGAGCAAGTGAGTCGGCCCAAGAAAGGACTGGAGATAGGAGAGGAAACACAGTGGGAGTCACAATCAACCCTTCTGATAAAACCTAGAGGAGTGGGCTAGCGTGTACACACACACATGTGTGTGTGCATGCTTGTGTACACCTTGTACACACATCCATTTCCAATTTCAGCTCTTGGCAGAAGAGGTGGTGACGGACATAGGCAGACAGCCCAGTCTTATGTGTGAGTGTGTGTGTGTGTGAACATGAGTATGTGTGTGTATGCATGTACATGTGTGCACATGTGCATGTGTTTGTGTGTGTGTGTGTACATGCACTGTATACATGCATCTGTGTGTGTACATGGACTGAGTGTGTGTGCAGTCCACAAACATGATTGTACATGCACATATATTGGTACATGCTCACTTGAGTGTGCATGTGTGTCCATCCACTCATGTGTGTGTGTGTGTGTGTGCCTCCCTGCCCCTCATGTCAACTCAGTACCTCCCTGGCAACCACACAGAGTCTACGGAAGTATTCAAGTACCCTAGCTGGGCCGTCTGCCTAAGGCCATTGCCACGTCTATCACTAAGAGCCGAAACCAGAAAACAGAGAGGGAGCTAGCTCAGACAGAAGCAAAGGCAGTGATGTGTAGATCAGGTGGCTAGGACCAAAACCCTCTGGGGCTCACCTACAAGTTCCTGGGCTCCCCTTACCCCAAGTCCTGGGACAGCCAGTTGACAACCTTTGCAACAATGGTGGGTAATCCCTTGGGCCAGAGGACCCTGGAGGACAACCCTGTCCATGAGCCTCACACACTCCCACCCACCCCAGCCCCAGCCCAGCCTCAACCAGGTCCTCTCACCTTTCTTCTGTTGCTTCATCATTCTCCAGGCCACGAGTGAGGCCACCACCAAGAGAAGCAGAAACACAGCAAAGACGAGGGGAAGAAGGATTCTGAGCATATTGGTCTTACGCCTGGAAACAGCAGGAGGAGGCTTCTGTGCATAGGGCCCACCTATTGCCTCTGGGCCCTATCCCACATGGAAGGGGCACCTCACTCCTGGTGCCCTCAAAGACAGAAACAAGGAGAGAAGGGTCCCACAAGATAGTTCTGATGTGTCTACTAGCTAAAGGGGCTCTTAAAACCAGTCTCTGCTTCTAAATTTGCCTTTTATTACGGACTGAATTATGCCCAAAAATATAGGTACTGAAATCCTGTTTGAAAATGGGGTTTTCTTTGTTATGTTAATTAGATCATACCTAGTAGATTGGGTTATAAATCTAATCACTTCTGAGTTATAAAAGGAACAGAACAGACACAGAAACACACACAGGAGGAAGACAGGCATCAAGGAACACCAAACTGAGCACAGTGCCTGCTAGGCAGATGTTAACTCAGTAAAGGGGAGGTGAATGAATGAATGAATGAAACAACCCACAAACCTACCAACTGCGCTGACCTCCAGGATGGGACATTGTGTGGCCTGAGAGCAATTGGGAAAGGCCCCTGGACCCTTCATCCACTCAAAGGAGCCTGAGGGTCTGAGCCCAAGCTCTAACTGAGACCAGGGATGATAAAGGGTTCCCCCAAGTGGGTCACAGGGAACAGCAGCATCTGAGCTAGCTTACCTGTCATCAGAGAGGTAGCTGGTCATAGAGCCTGTGATCTCTTCTGGGGTGGCTGGTGCTGTAAATGTGGTGGTGGAGGAGGTGGTAGTGGTCCACACTGTAGTTGGTGCTTGGCACACAGACCAGATTAAATATCACTCTGCCTGCTGACCCACCCAACCCTGCACAAGGCTCTGAGCCTTGGAGAGGTTGCCCTGGCCTGAGAATTCTGGAGCAGGGCTATGAGGAGGGGGTTGTAACCTGGATCTCTCATACATCCCCAGCCTCTAGGAGCTTCAAGAGCCTCAGGTGCAGAGAGGACTTTGATCAGGCCCTGGGAGGACTGGAGGGGGCCCAGGAAGAGCCTCAGGACAAGGGTGACTGGAATTCACCTGGATTTGAAACAAATCCATCGTTTATGACAGTGCTTCAGTCCATGCCCCCTCTCCAACCGTATTTAGAACCAGTCACAGCTGGTTCTAAACAAAATCATGATGTTCAGAAGAGCCTTTGCTTTGGACAAGTTATTAATTTTATAAGATGTGGCTAGCCATGTCTCCAGAGTATTGTAAGGATGAAGTGAGATAATACACACACTGCACTTTGCAAACTGTAGCATGCCTTACAGGGCCAGGTGTGGTGGGGGTCTGTTGACTGATGGCCCAAGTGTCCCAAGAGACCATGCTGCCTGTCCAAGAGTCAGCAGAATCAGAACCTAACAGATAAACTCCACCCAAGGCATTGGGACTTCTAAGCGAACTTCTGAGGAATGTTTGCCTTCTAGAAGGACTTAGGAAGAGAACATCATTAGGTCCAAATTCATAAATGTTGCACAGTGGGGTTTCAGGCACCAGGAGGGCAGCTGTTTGACTGTGGGGATCTTTCCAAACCTTAGAATTGATCACAGCAACCCAGCTATGCTGGGCCTCTGCCTCCCTCGAGGTTGGATATGGGATGGGGTGGGGAGCAATGAAGTCCCAGCCCAGAACTCCAGAGAGCAGCCACACCTAGGCACCACACATCCCAGGAAAGATCTGGCAGGGATTGGGATCTCTGCATCTCACGGAAGGGGTCCTTTTGGCCCATGGCCTGAAACTGGGGACCACTGCCTTATTCTCTGTGGGCAAAAGACCGAGCTGTGCAGAGAAGAAAATGTGCCCAGAAAGGCTTCACTCCATCCTGGAAGAGCCTGGGAGCCATGACAGGCCCCGGAAGAGAAGCCCTATCAACTCCAACTAGACAGTGAGGTTCAATGACACCCCACGGCTTGACCATCCTCTGGTCTTCCCACACTTCAGTCACCTAAGAGAGCCTTCAGGGACCAGGACAGAGCAGGTGCACTCTCTTACCTGGGCTGACTGACACTTTAACCTCGACTCCGCAGTCAGTTCCAAATCTCTCAATCCCACACCAGTAAACATCTGCATCGTCTTCCCTGAGCTTCTCCATGATCACAGTGAACATGAGGTCTGTGTGATTGTCCTTGATGGAAATGCGGTCCTTCTTCACCTCCAGCTCTGATCCAGTAGTTCTAACAAGGATTTTGCAGGTGCTCCAAACAGCCCCTCGACACCACCACTTGTAGTGGTTCTCCCACCCTGAGTCATAGTGACACTGCACAGTCAATGAGCCTCCCTTCGGGCCACTCATTGCGTTTGGACCCTTCATGGTGGAGCAGCCTGGAAAACACAAATTCATGTGCCTGTCACCTCCCAGCCTGAGGGGAGGACTATAGCCTCCTGCAGTGGGAATAGCTCCCGAATCCAAGTGCCTGATGAGTTGAATAACAGTCAAGGAAGAAATATAGCTTCCACAGACAGACCATTAGTTCTTCAGAATTCCACTCTCAAAGCCACCATTTATGTCACTGAGGAACATAAGTACAGATTTCAAAAGAAATAAAAACGTTGACACTGAACAGGAACAGTTTTCTATAGTTCACCACTCTACCCGCCCCATGGCCAATATAATCTTTATATTTCAAAGGATGTTCCTTTTGCAACCATATTTGTATTATGCTGATCTTTTGTTGTTAGATGCTGTCCAGTTGGTTCTGATTCACAGAGACCCAGTATGACAAAGTAGAACTGCCCCATGGGTTTCCTAGGTAGTAATCTTTATAAGGGGAGCTCTGGTAGCGTAGTGCCTAAGGGACTTGGCTGCTAACCAGAAGGCTGGAGGTTCAAACCCATCAGCCACTCCTCAGAAGGGAGGTTGGACAATCTACTTCCATAGTGATGCTGCCTCAGAAACCCAAGGAGGGGTTGCTATGGGTTGGGTCAGACTCGAGGGCAAGTAACAACAACAATCTTTATAAGAGGAGCTCTGGTGGTGCGGTTAAGGCATTAGGCTGCTAACCAAAAGGTGGGTAGTTCAAACCCACCAGCCACTCTGCAGAAGAAAGATGAGGCAGTCTGCTTCTGTGAAGATTTGTTGTTTGTTGTTGTTGTTGTTAGGTGCTGTCGAGTCATTTCCAACTCATAGCGACCCCACGCACAGCAGAATGAAACACTGCCCGATCCCGGGCCAGCTCCATGATCCCTGCTATACTTGAGCCCATCATCGCAGCCACAGTGTCAATCCATATGCAGCTCTTGCCCAATCCTATTTTGAGAGCCTTCTAACCTAACTGGACTATTCATAAAGTTGCATGGTAATGTATCAAACAGTGTTTCTTTGCTATTCACAAGGTTTTCCCTGGCCAACTCTTTGAGAAGTGGACGGCCTCTTCCTTCTTCCTAGTCTGTCTCAGTCTGTAAGCTTGGCTGATACCTGTGCACCATGTGCATCCCGCTGGGTTTGAAACACCAGTGGCTCAGCCTCAAAACCCACATCAACACTTACCACGGTATGACAAACTTGACAGACAGATTTCTCTCCCTGTTGGAAACCTCTTGTACCACCCTTACCTGGGTCCCTGCGGCTGACTCCTCTGTAAAGATTTACAACCTTGGAAACCCAGTGGGTTTTGCTGAGTCAGAATTGACTTGATGGCAGTGAGTTTGTTTTTTGTTTGTTTGTTTATTGTAATTTTTACAAGAGCAGATCACCAGATCTTTCTCCTGAGATATTGCTAAATGGGTTCCAATTGCCAACCTTTTGGTTAGAAGCCAAATGCTTAACTTTCCACCACCAAGGCCCCTTTGCACACTGGTCTGCTAGGAAGGAAATAACAGAGGCCCATTTCCATAGGACAAAGGTACTCACTGCCTTGATTCTGTCTTGACGATCATCAGGGAGTCCAGCTGAGCATCCCACCAGACTGCCACCCGTGGAGAGGCTCTCCCTATTGCTGTGCTTAGGAAAGCACCTTGAGGGAGTGCCCTTGAAGTTGAGCAAAACAGTGATGCCACCTGGTCTCCATGTGCCATGGAGTCCCTATCACACAGATCCCATGTTGTTCAATACATTTTTATGATTCCCAGTTCCAAATTTCCTGGGAAAAGTGAACTTCCATGACAAAAGCAAACAAAGTTTAGGCGTAGCTTCTGTGCTGTGTCCTCTGGTGTCCTGAAGGATTTCTCCTAAAGCCTAATGGAGATGATTCGAGGGAGAGCTGAAGGATGAGACACTGACCCGCCTCATCAGCTCTTCTCTTCAAAGAGTCTGCCCCAGGACAACTGTGGTCTGCACGATACTTTCATCCTAACCTGTTGCTTAAAAGCAATCAGAGCAATAACAGTACCTTAAATGAGAGCTCTCACGGCAAATTCTTTAAACTCTACTGGGCTGAAGGCAATGCTGTGTTGAGAAATGATCTATCCAACAATTTATGTATTTGCAATGAGCGACAGCTACGAGTGTTGTAGCATAAGTTTGAGCTGGACCTCGGAGCATATTGGAGCACTTGAAGGAGCCCTGGGAGTAACTCATGCTGAGAGAGAGAGAGGATGTTGTCTTTTGTGCACCAGGAGACAATGAGAGTCCCGGTGAAGAGGACAAGCTGGGCTAGGAGGCTTGGGTTTGAATCCCAGCTCCACCACTTAGAAGGTCTGTGAACTCGGGCAAATTAACCTCTGGGTGCCTATATGCCCTACAAGTGGGATGGTAGTAGTAGTACCTTCCATCTCCATGGCAGAGCTCAGGGGGCACAACAGTTAAGGGCTTTTTGCTAACCAAAATGTTGGCAGTTCAAACCCACCCAGCCGCTCCACAGGAGAAAGATCAGGTGATCTGCTCCCATAAAGATTACAGCCTAGAAAACCTTATGGGGCAGTTGCACTCTATCACGTAGCGGTCTATGAGTTGGAATCGAACTTGACAGCACACAACAATAACAACATCTCTATATTATTATATAATGTTAGTGATGATGATACTACCACCAACAATTGTCATCAAATCGATTCTGACTCATGTCAAGTCCATGTGTTCAGAGAAGCACTGGGCATAGGATTTTCAATGGATGTGACCTTTCAGAAATCGATTGTCAGGGCTTTACCCCAATGAACTTCTCGGGGGATTTGAATTGTGAAAAAATGAAGTGGGGGCACCATCTTCTGATTCCTCTAAATTTGCAAAGAGGAAGGAAGATCCAGAACAACTTCAACAGCCCAAGGCTCCTGTCTATGAGGCAGAGGTCAGATATGCCACCTCCCTCCAGCCTTTCTGCTAATTCTGACACCAACTGTCCCTCCCATGGCAGTCTCTGCTTCTCTGCTGGGTTTGATAATTCATTGCAATGATCACACAGAATTCATAGACAATACTCATGATTATGGGGTTTACTAGGGAAGCAACAGGTTACAATTCAGGTTCAGGAATGGTTGAAGTACAATTCTTTGACCAGGGTAACCTCCCCTCAGCTATACTGTCAGGCACACCTGTCTTTGGCCCTTGTCCTCTCAGCCTGGCCTCTTCCTTGCTTAGGCAAGTGTTGAAAGCCCTTTCAGCTCTGCTGATAGGTGCACCCTTCTCCACCAGCAAGGCTCCTGCTTGCAGGCACTCAGCTTTCCTGCACTGTAGACCAGCAAGCCTGCTACTCTGTCTCAGGCTAGTCTCTTGGTTCTGCAGCTTCTGCTGCCTCTGTCTGTCTGCTGTCTCTCTGTCCTGGCTTATTCACTGTTTCAGTGCAGGGATCTAGGGTCCAAAGGATATGCTCCACTCCTGACTTTTATTTCTTGATTGTAGTGAGATCCCTCCTTTTCTGCCTCTGGGACGGCTTATTTTAACCTTAGTGAGATGGCAAAACTGACCAATCCCCACATTAGGGTTCCCTACACCTTATTTGCACAGTTCCACCTCCACTAGTGTGCCAAGTACCTTAACATTATTAGCAAGTTATCCAATCCCCCTGGTGGGGCATGAACACCTCATATTTGTGTAGTCCTTCTCAGTCATTTGGTGGAATTACAAAGACTATGGGTAGAAGAGCCATACCAGTAATTTCCTGAACCTCAGGCCATCCCCTGGCTCTTCTAGCCATTGGCCCCTTCATACCTGAGAGTTTAACTTCCCCATCCCAATCATTTCAAGTATAAGCACACCATGAAAGTGTGTAAGCCGGCCACTTCCTGCCTTTATCTCCCCCCATTTTAGATAGCCAATTTCTAAACTGCCTGTCCCTGTCAAACTAGTATTCTGAGGAGGAAAGCATGTTCTGTTCTGGTTGGAAATTTGAGCATCTGCATCCATACGCAAAGTCCAGCCCAAAGCAAGCCATCAGACTGCAGCAATTTATACCAGCTCACAGTGCACAGTGTCAAACATTTTTGTCTTCATTTGGTCAGGTTCCAGTCAACTCAGCCCTAGCCATCCAAACTAGCTGGTCAATTGGTTCCAATGGTAAGTTTGGGAGTTCACACACTTCCCTGTACTTCAAACCAGCCAGCTCCTTCTCTCTCTCTCTCTCTCTCTCTCATCCCTAGTCCCCACGGAATAGGTCAATGCCCATGGACTCAGCAGTCCACACAACTCCCTGCACTTCAAACCAGCCAGCCCTTCCTCTCTCATCCCTAGTCCTCATGGGCCAGGCCAATAGGTGCCAATAGAACATGTCCAAACTCAGCTCCTCTCTTCATTGCTGCAAGTGAACCAGACGCTCACAACAAGCAAGCATTCCTATCTACTTGCTGGCTCCCTTTAACTTCCAGTCCTGGGAGGGTTTTTGTTATTGTTATTGTTGTCATTGTTGTTTTTATGGACTGTGGCTTTTTCCTGCCTACAGGCATCTGGAAGAGAAATCTTGAAATTCAAAAAGCTAAACAGTCTTTTTTTTTTTTTTTCTCTTCAAGTCTTCCTTCTAATGCAAGTCTCCTATTCTCTCAGCAGTTCTGAGTAGGTCTGCATGTCTTCTCAGATGCAAATTTCCTGGCTCAGGTTTTCTAACTAAGCCCCCAGTACTCCATACACAGGGCTACAGTATTGAAATAAAAGCCTACATTTCTTCCGAGCAAAGTCTAGTTCCCCTTTTAGCATATTCAATTAAGCATTGGCGGCTGGAGGTGGATTTACTACTCTCTGCAGTCTGTAATACCCATTATTCATTTAATCATACATTTAGAAGAAACTTCCAATTTCCACAATATGTTCAGATAACCACATAACTCAATACATACACTTTAAAAACATTCCAGGTTCATCTTCTTTTCTCCACACCTTGACTATATTTCCAGTCTATGCATATAGCTTTGGGCATCGGGCTGGGTGGA